CTGACGACAAAACACAAGTTGATACTGACATCAGGCGCTTACCCCCGTGCTACCTCGTTTAGCATAGACGTTGCCCACTGCTTGAAACCTCTAAACAACACAGTTTGCAAATTTATAGAAACACGGACGACTCGCAACATTCAGCTTACCGAATTTACGTCTGATATTTCTCCATCCATAAAACTCTGAAATAGTAACTTTCAGGGATTTATTTTAAATAAATTTTCAAAAACCAACTTTTTACTTATACACTTCAATAAAATCTGCAACGATACATTTACTATGCAGTCGGACTTCGGCTAATCAATACGCTAATGAAAAAAAGACATTGAAAAGACGATCGCTGATTGTCCTACAAAAGGAGTATGCAAAGATCTAGGCGCAGAGTCTGAATTAAAGTAAAACAATGGTAATGACAAATGTTATCCCATGTTCTACGGCACTGAGTTATTATGTACAGAGTAATGTAAAATTGTTACATCGGATTTCTGAGCACCTGGTCACCAAATGGCGACGGATGCTACTTTTTGTCCAATACTGCCCATGAGGTATCGTTTTACAGTCAATATAGAAAAAGATCCCTCCACCATTCAAAGGGTAGACGCGGAGAAAAATTTCACCATTCGTGGAATAAATCAGAACTCAATTATTTGAATCAAACTTTATGAAGTATAACATGGATGGCATGAACATCAGGTTAGCTGAAACCATCTACCAATGATTAAGAAGCTGCAGTACTTTATTGCTCCTAACAGCGTCGTATTCTGCAGTTCATCAACCTTGGTCGTGATTACCACCCGACTTTAGTAGGCGTTGACGGTCTCTTTTCTCTGCTACGAGGAGACCAATTACAAGAGAAACGCCCTATGCCTTTGCTGTTCAGATCTTTCGTATTTCCATCCTCCAATTTTGATATTTCAATATTTTTTCTCTAACATCAACAACAGTATCTCTGTCACGGCATGCAACATCAATGATCTGTGTCCTCCTCTTCACCTTGTCTACCAATACCACATCCGGATGAAAAGGCGATGTTTCTTTTTAGTTCTAATCGGGAATTCCCAGAGAATTTTCACTCGCTCAGTCTCATCCACCGATTTCAGCTGCTGCTGTTGTTTAAAGCATTGCTTTCTTTTCCACAGACAAGTCTGCTCGCTTTTACAAATGCCAGTGGACTATCCTTGAAACGCTGTTATGTTTTTCCTTGTATCCTCGATTTTCGGACGTTTTGCTGCCGGAGATTATGGACAATAATACGATCGCATTTTTACTTGACATACTCATTATTTTGCTACTGTCCGCGTGTGAATGATCTTTTTATTGTATGAGTTCGTGTTCAGTGCTTCTTGGACGACGATTACAAGGATTTCCATTTCGCCATGGGTCTATTTCTTGATTGCCAGTGAAATAATGGTGGATGTCCATGTCTTTACTGAGTTGGCCAAGATAAGGGCAATGAAGCTCCAGTATTGTGTCAGAAGTTCTCTATATTTTGCTGAAGATTTTTCGCATTACCAACTGCTTGATGCTCTAGTTTGCATAGGCCGTAAGCCTATGCATCCATCAGCTCTTAACTGTTCAAGGCCGTTGCCAGATATTGCCTTAGG